CCGGGAGCAGATCTTTCCTCTTCTTCCTGACTCGCTCGGAGTAGTCTTCATTTATGAAGATTGATGTTCCCTTCAGCATCTTGGCGTTTCTCATGATCTCTTGTTTGTCCTTGTATCTGAGGAACTTCACCACGATTGGACGCGGTCTGTCGGCGAGCTGCGATTTCCCATTTCGGTGGGCGCGTTCAATCTCGATGTCGTCTGCGTTCAGATGTAGTTTTCTCCGCAGCACCTCTTTCACCTTGTGCTCTGATTGTTCCCACGTCTCTCCGCGTTCATCCTTGATACCGTCAAACGTCAGGTTATTTCTTCTGGACTGGTTTTCTAGATAGTCGTTTTTTTCGACCAGCTCACTTACATCCTTGCTGAACGTTGCGATATTCGATTCCAGTTCTTTCAGTTTCTCTGTGTGTCTTTTGCTAGCTTTCTTGACCTCACTGAGTTCTCCTTGTGAGAACTGAAGGCTATTCTTTATGTCTTGTACCTCCCTGACTAAGTTGTCCATTCTCTGGTTCGTGGAATCTGCAATGATTTGAACGAAGGACCTGAAACTTTTCTCTTGCTGGTCAATCAGGTCCTTATAATAGACCTTCTGCTGCTCTAACAGTTCTCGCATGAACGCGATACTTACTGGGTCCTCATCAGCACTTGTGTTGTTTCCTTTCTTAGGCGGCATACTTGGAAGACGAAAGGCGAGACTTACCTTTCTTAGTTGGAATGATTTTGCGACTAGCTCTAGACAGGAAAACCAGAGTTCTTGAGGGTGAGCACGCTAATTAGTTCACTGCGTTTCCCGTCCAACTCCTGGATTTCCCGCCAACGCCACTGTAACAACAGAAAAAGGGGGAGGGCAGCAAGAAAGCACTTTTTCCAAAAACTAACTACTGAAATCCCCTTGGCAAATCACAGCAAACATTAGCAGTGTACTGGATACTGACCGGCAAGGGTCTCATGTATAGAGACCCGTGTACTTTGCTGAGCTTGCAGAAAGAAGACAGGTTCTGCTGTGTCGTCGTTGTGGTTCGTCGTCGTTGTGGGTAGTTGCCGCTTCTTCCGTCTCGTTACCGCTTTGTGCTTCTTCACCGTCTCCAAAATGGCTCAAAATCCCTTCTTATAGGTGTCTAGAGTTGGTTAGGCACCTATTTTCGTTCGGATGGCTTGTTCTGGTACGGCGAATTAACGTTAAAACAAATTGGGTGACGGAGCGATCAAAAAGAACGCGCGGCCATTACGGGGACCGTCCACTATGTTCGTACTGTTTACTATAGCTAGTTGTTATAGGGTCTTAACTTTTAATCATCCATAAAGTATATTAGTTTTTTTATAATTGTTCGATATTAACAATTAGTAATTATAATAGATCACCTTCCACGATGTTCATATTTCTCAAAATTGTACCTACGAGTACTACAATTGTCGTGGAACAAAGCTCTTATTTGAATGTTTTATTGTGGTTTAGATAGAGCAGAAGTACATTTAGCGTAGATTGCCCTTTGTATGATAATGATAGAAGCATTTTGTCAGATATGTGTTAAGTTAATTTCCCCTCTTCAGATATTTAAACAGTAAAGATAAATCTACACTCCATATATCCTTCGACAAACCAACACTGACTAATCATACAGTCTCCTACATTTTTACTATTGCTTAAAAACGAGATGTAGTCGAATGCACATGTACTGGAAGTTAATGTATCATTGTCAACATGTAACCGGAATTTAGCCCTTCTACAATGAATGTCTTCATCCATTAATTGTATATCATCTTCATAACACCTAGGGGAGCATCACCCTGCGCTGGTCCGGCTGGAGAGATGACGACTCGGGGATTGGAGAGTACGAGTACGAGGTGTTTAAACTCCGGCCGTTCGGGGACATGCTGGGGATGAGAGGACTGTCTCCTGTACCCGGACAGACAGGCACGGTTGGAGCGGCGGCAACACAGGCCAGCATTCGCCTAACAGAACCGGGTAGGAAATTAGTATTAAGAGATCAAAATAAGAGACCTTTAGGATTTAGACGTAATACAAGTAATTCCTTCTCCTACCTAATACTTCAGTCATCTAATTTATCTTTGTAGAACTTAATGCCTCTCAATGACAAGCGTTTCCACTACACCGCAGGAGTGTACAGTATAGTACTGACTGTTGAGGACGGCTGCGGGCCGAATGACGGGAACTTCGTCATCACACGGAGGTTCCTCATCTATGACGACAACAGTACAGTTCAGGCTGACACATCCGGGCACCATCCCATGTGGGCGGAGTCAGCCTCTAACGTCACCGGAAGGGTGTGGCAAACCAACCTGCAGGACGCCTTGGGAAACGGACCACAGGTGATGTATAGTGTAATGTGCCAGTTTGACAATCTTTTTAGCTTCTGCAGCATACTGATATGTAACTTGATCTTCTCTTCAGGTTGCTGTTTCGTGGCCGGACCACTTTTGCAACCAACTGCACAAACACAACAAGTTTCTAAACGCTATAGAAGAACATCCTTCGCCCATCCTGCCTGGTTACGAAGAGCTAATTGGTAATTATGGACGCATATTCTTGCGTATAAGTTATCGCCATTGAATATCTCATTCTTCCTGACTTAATTCTATTCCTAAGAAATTACTGACAAGTCTGTTTTTTTCCTGCTACATTTCAGCTAATATTGAATACTGATTATTTATTCTGGCCAATACTATCTATTGATAGATTCCATGACAACGTCGCCTTTTTTTCTTTTGATTCAAGTCTGTGCCAAAGGGATCTGTTGACTAACAGACAGACATCAGCATATTAACTACGTTGTTATTCGCAGGCCAGCCCCCAGCTACCCGGTCCCGTGAAGCCATCCCGAACGTGAACACCATCCTGCTGTTCCAGACAGACTGGGCTGTGGACCATCAGGGCGGGAGGAGTCTCAGCAGCCCGCCGGGAAACTGGCAGAACGTCACAGATATGACGGTAAAGCTGGAATCACATTTCAAACGGGGTCTGCGCGGCATGTTCCTGGTGTAGACGCCGGCCGGCGTCATAAAGCCAGTCGTACCCCGGCTGTCAGGGTCACAATAAACTGTTCAACTCGTGCATCGGCGACCGCGCGGGGCAAAAATTGGCCGGCAGCCGTCGGAACACTGCCAGTCTCCGCCAGGTCCCGTCCAATAGTGCTAAGAAAAAAAACAGCCGCACGGGTCCCAATTTTGAATTGTGACCTAGGCTTTAGTGAAGTTCAATTTTTTTTCAGCGCAGTACGATTTAAGCCCATTTTTATGGATGTTGAGTTCGATGCGACATGTGTGTCAGAGTCTTACTCTGGACCTCCTAGACATGCGTCCTTGCATTGGTGGCCACCTTTTTTATTTCATCATTACAGATTATTACAATGATTAAAAAGAACCATTCATTCACAAAATGTGTAATGTTTCGTTCATATAGCAACAAAGGCAATCATTATAATAGCTCTATTTAATATAGCGGAGCATATTCAATGTCGAGGTTGGTCGAAGTTAACGTAGCATTTAGA